TTAAAATAAAATGAATATAAGGTAGATACGTATAGCTTATTTGAGAGCTGCTTTGGGGTGTTGGGAACTAACATCTGAGAGCCCAAATAAAAGAAGTTGGTGTGCCGAGCTGATTGTAAACCACTTAGAATGAAACTGAATGTGCACACGGAACAGTCCCCCAACACTGAACAGCCAGTGCTTGCTTTTGCTTTTTAATAAAAATGGGAGCCCTACAGGGGGTTGTTTTTATTTATGTTTCTCTATGAAAATACATTTTAAAGATAGAACATTTTCAACTAAGAAAAAAGTATTTTGTAGTCAAGTTTGAGTCTAAGCACCTAAAAATTCTAAACAAATTTTATTTTGTTATAGCAATTTATTTTGTATAAATCTTTATCATCTTCGATATTGTGGCTTGTACCTTAGAATTACATCATCACTATATAATTAGATAATTTTAAAACTTGCATTATTAGTCTTAAAAATGTGCATTTTATATCATTCAAAACTCATTTCTGTAATATATGGGACAATGATAACTATTTTATAGTCTTTTTACTTGTTTTCTTAACTTACTCTGCATTCTTTTATGTTATATAGAAATCTGTTGGTGAAAAAGGAATTGATGTTATTATTGAAATGTTAGCTAATGTAAATCTTAGTAATGATTTGAATCTTCTGTCATCTGGAGGACGGGTAATAGTAAGTATCCTTTTTTTACCACTTTGAAGATTTATCATTATATAACACCATTCTGTAGGAATTGTTAGCTGTGTATGTGTTGTTCCTCATACTAGGTTGTTGGCAGCAGAGGCCCTATTGAAATAAACCCACGGGACACCATGGCAAAGGAATCTAGTATAATTGGACTTGCTCTGTATTCATCAACCAAGGTAAGAAAAGAGGTAATTCTGATTGGGGTAACTTGCCTAGTCAGGCAGACTGAAGGTTTAAGTAAATGCTAGACTTAGTCATCTGACTAGATGTGTGCGCTAAAGATTAGTCTCTTAGGAGATAACTAGGACAGCAGTATCATTTATTTTCCATGTCAGGACACTTTTGAGAGAAAGGAGGTAGTATTAGTAATTACTTCAGGACAGTATGGGTTTTGTAAACTAATGCTGTCTCAAACAAGTTGGACTTAGGGTTACAATATTGAGAGCTACTTTTTCTATTGTTCTGGACAAGTTGACAAAAGCCACACTTTTGTGAGAAATTCTTTGTGCTTTCTTAGATTCCGAAAATATTTAATGCTTCTGAAAATCAGCTCATGTTTCTCTACAGAAACCCCCTCCCTCACATTTTTTTTTTTTTTTAAACACAGGAGGAATTTCAGCAATTTGCAGCAGCCCTTCAAGCTGGGATGGAAGTTGGTTGGTTGAGACCGGTCATAGGTTCTCAGTATCCTTTGGAGAAAGTGGTCCAGGCTCATGAAAATATCATTCATAGCAGCGGGGCCACTGGAAAAATGATTCTTCTCATATCATGATTAATTCTTTCATGCATTTCTCGTGTAATTAGAGGTTTCTTACTCCAGTTTTACTTACAGAATCTTTCTTTAATTGCCATCCATTTGACTCAGTGAGTTTCTTATACTAAAAAACAAGATTTGTCTTTAAAGATCCTGGGTGTGGGGCGCACAATTTGTGTTATAGCTGGCAATGTTCTCCATGCCTTTCACCTGTGATCAAGCAGCCGTAGCAGAAAGCAGAGTGTTGTGGTCATGGGCATTGAGGCGCACTCCCGAAGTTCCTGACGCTTGATCATTGATTTCATACCTTTGACTAAACATTCTAATGAAAAATAAGAGTTTGATTTCCAAGCCTACTTCTCCTTATAAAGTTTCTTTCCTTCCTGATGTGCCCAGAATTATATTAGACTTTGAAGATTTTCTGGTTTAAACAAGATCCTTTGTCCAAATAAATCTTCTCTGGATCAACAAGTTTCTTGGACGGGCATGATAAACAATGTCCAGACACATTTGTTAGTTTTCCAATATTTACCAAAGTGTTAGAACATTTTGTTAAATAAGCATTAATGGTGAATTACCACTGCTCCACATCCTGTGAGGACAGCGGCCTTTTCTGGGTGTAATGTGACACGAGCTGCGTGGCCTCCAGATACCCCTGGACTGGTTTGATTGCAAATTAGATTCAGAATTATCTGTTTGTGCAATAGGGACGTGTGTTATATTTTTAAATATTGCCAAATAAACAAATTTGACACATTAAGAATGATCTGCTTTTGTTTTCTAATGTGGTGACCTGGAGTGATCCTATAGGGAAGGAAAAACTTAAGTTTTTCTAGTTTTATATTGCACTCACCTTACTTCACTTGTACATAGCTCCTAACGATCTTGTCCTAACGGTGTCCTATGGTGGAAGTCTTTATCTAAACTAAATAAAAAAGTGATTGCTTAGAAATCTTGACATCAATATTATGTGTAATGTTGTAAGGTTTGATTGTTAATTTTATTCTTATCTGTTGTTACATTATGTGGTTGATTCTCTTGACCTTATTTGTTCTCTTGAATGACAATTGTGTATCTAGTTTGAACATGGAATCCTGCCTGATAAGTGAACAGAAAGCATGGCTAACTTCTGTAATTGAGGAATTTCATTGACTTCTGGCTGCATGTGCCATGGCTGAAGTAGTTTTGCTTTTAGCATTTTTCAAGTTCATTCACTGTTTATTTTATAGGTTAGCATCCTGTGAAATAACATGTTTGAAAAAACATAAAAAATGTCATGATTCTAGAAACCAGCATGTTATGTATCTTAAAATGAAGGATTGCATCCTATACAAAAAGATAAAGGAGAAATTACTCTGTAAAAGTCAGATTTCTTTTTTGGTGCTCTGGTTGGGGGGCTTGGCTCTCAGCCCCTTTCAGGCCCCTCTGTGGGACCCTGCCTGGCCCTGTCTCCCACCTCCCTATCAGGCCAGAGACACGATGGCTGTAGCCCTGTGAGCAGCTTGGAATTCAAGGATCCCACAGGCACCTGGAAGTTCACCTACAACCCCATGTATCCTCTGGACTCCGAGGATCAGAATACCTGGAAGTTTCAGATCTTGTAGAAGTGACTCATTCTCCATCTTCCTCCATCTTTTGTCTAAATCTGCCTTTTACAGAATAATTATTCCTCCTCTACAGAAGGAGCTGAAGCATCCTGATAACATAACACCTCACAGTCCTTTATATAGTTTAGTTAATAGCCAAACTCTATGTGTTAACTACCATATTTATGGTTATGTAGCATTGCACATGTTCCCTGTAGATCTCTTTGTAGTTCCAGTTCTAGTCTAGTCCCAGTTTTGAGCCAAATATATTTACTGCCCTGTTGGTGCCTGTAGCCTAAGGGCCACTCCCCCAGTCACCAGTGCTGTCCCTGATACAAAGTAGAGAATAACCTGTGGAATCAACAAGAATGATGTCATGTTCTGACTGGATGGATTTCTGTTCCTGTTTGCTTTGACCTTAGAATCATATAAAGTTAAACAAATAGATCAGTCACCTGAGCTGAAGAAGGTGAAAGGACACATGAAAAGTCCCATGGCTAGTCTATTCAAACTCAGCCAACATTTTTAGTTGCCTATTTCTCAAATTGGTTTGACAGAGAGAGAGAGAGAGAGAGAGAGAGAGAGAGAGAGAGAGAGAGAGAACCATCAATTGGTTGTTCACTTATTTATGCATTCATTAGTCAATTCTTGTATGTGCCCTGAGCTGAGATTGAACCCTCAACCTTGGTGTATGGGGATGACACTCTAACCAACTGAGCTACCCCAGCCTGGGCCCTTAGTAGGCTTTTGGTACAAAAACCTGAATTTTAATTCCCAGCCTCAGGCTTTCCTGGCTTGCTGTGACTCTGGTGACTGCAGGAGTTGATCTGCTTCCTTTTGAGCCTCATTTTTCCTGAGATTCCTAGTTTCTGACCCTATTATAGTCTCTTTGCCTCAGTTGTCACTCACCTCCTTGTTTGACTTGTATGGAGGGATTATTCTATTCCTCCATTAGTTCAAAATAGTGAGTACTTAGGAGTCTGAGAAGGCACCATGCTAGCATTATAGGATACAAAGATGTAGAAGGCATAGTCCACATCCTCGAGCTTACGGTTGTGTAGGGGCAAGAGCCAAGCAAAAGTTTTTTGGAGTATTACACATAGACACATATTACTCATATATCTATATAGGTATATTACAGGTATGTATATATGTATATTACACACACATGTATAAAGAGATTTATTGTAAAAATTTTTTCTTATGCAGTGATGGGGCTGACAAGTCTAAATCTATAGGGCAGGCCAGCAGAGTTTCTATATTTCAGTATTCAGGCAGAATTCTTTCTTTGAGAAACGTCAGTTTTTGTTGTTAAGACTTTTGACTGATTGAATGAGTCCTACCTGCATTATTGAGGGTAATCTACTTCAAGTCAACCGGTGACTCTAAACATAAAACTATTACGGAGGGTGACCTGGGGACACAAATGCAGGACCCTTAGTGTAGCTTGGGGTTTCCAATTACACATTTAATATCTTTGATGCATTTGTTGGCTCTCTCAATCCATAGTAGTGTGGCCAGAGAACTACAAAAGAACTGGGATGCTTCTGAAATGGAAAATAAAGTCAGGTAGGATTTCTTAATATCCGTAGCACTGCTTTATTGAAGCAAGAAATTCTATGTGCGCCAAGGGGTTTCCACAATTTACAGTGTAAAAAGGATTTTTTCTGTTCAAGATAATTCTCAAGAACAGCGAAACCTATCAGGTTGCTTTGGCCTGGGTCTCTCAGTGTCCTCAGCCATGTCTTACAGACAGGAAAACACCTCAGTTCAATCCTTAAATCTTTGTCCAATAATACCGTTTCTTAGTACAGTGGTTTTCTAAAATGTCATTTGAAAATTTAAGTCAGTTTTATGAATCCATTGAGCTTTTAGAATAGTTCGTATTGGAAATTCTATATTCAAGGAAAGAATCTACGAAATGTTAAATCATCAAAAGAAATTCAGAGTCACTTTGGTCCATGTCAGTAACCAGTGACACAGGTATTGGTGGGGACATTCTATGAACTTTAAGAGTGAGTCTAACACTGATTCCAAACCAATTGCATGGTACAGATGCTCATAAAATTGTGTTAAATATTATAGCAGCTGTCCTTAATTTATCCTTCCCCAGCTTCATGTGGAAGTACCCACCAAGACTGCAACCATACTAGAAACTAAAGATAAGAGGGAACCCGTGTTAAAATCCATTGTCACTAACTCCATTGTCAATCATTTGATACAGTGACTGAAATTAGCTTCAAGGTAGGCAGGGAAAAAGCCTCAATTGAGTCACTGTCTAAGGACAAAGGTGCTACACTACCTAGAAAATCAAACCCCTTATTGCCCAGAAATATTTGAGGCAGCTAGAGATTTATGCCCATCCCTCAGTGTTCCCTCAGCTTCTTGCTTTCACTTGAATCTTATTCTTGCCGGTTTCAATTTTGGTACAGCTGCAGGTTCAGGAGGTAGGGGCACTTTGCTCCCTTGGATGTACAGCCATACAGAGAAAGTCTTACAAATGGTGAGAGTGAAGGATCCCTGGATTGTAGCGAATGCTGGGAGAGCTTACAGCACTTATAAAAAGAACATTTGCCCAACTCTAGCAAAGCCAGATTATCTAAGAATCAGAGCAGAGGAGGTTCGTGTCTTAGTCCAACAGGCACTAGGCTTGACTCGGTACTTATAAGACCACATCACTCCTAGTATAGATCTGAAAGGAACTGAGCTCCCTTGTGAACAGGGAGAAGGGCCAAGGGCAAGTGCAACCCCATGGAAGAGTTGTTAAGAGCAGGAATTATGGAGGAAGAAGGCCTGGCTTTAAATCTTGTCTCTACTACTGACCATCTGTGGTCCTGGTCAAATTACCTAGTCACCTGAAGCCTCAATGCTCTCACATGCAACGTGTTAGTAACCTCTCCCCTAGAGTGTAAAAAGTAGATAAGATGATGTCTGTAAAACACTTTGTACTCTGTCTTGCACAAATAAGTGTTTAGGCGATTATTTTTTCATTTTTATGAGCCATAAAGAAAGAATAAGTTGAGATAAACAGGAGGAATGAAAAGGGTGTATCCTGAAATATGCAAAAAATAAATGGAAACCCCAAATGCATATTACCATAAAAGATACTAATCAGCATAACTGACACTATGGAAAACACTATTGGTTATATGGGTAATTTGATCACTCTCCAAAAATGTGGAGAAAAGAAGTGAAAAAAATAGAGCAAATGAAAAATGAGAATGCAGCCTTTGAAATACATTGACTAAATAAATGTGCCTTCCCTAAACCCGAAAATAAAAGGTAATAAAACTTTGCTGAGCCAATCAAAAGAGCTAAGTTTATTCATTGATACTATTTATTATGTCTATACAAGATTAATGAAAACTACTAGTAATGAGGCATATTTAAATAAGGTATATCTTAAAAATTTTAAGTTTCACATAATTAGATATTGGAAAGGAGTATACAAAAGAATCATTATTTATAGTTACATTACTCAAAACTCAGAGCATGTAAGAACAAATGGAAAAACTATTAATGAATTCAGAAAGGTGGCTAATTGCATAATAAATATACAAAAATTAATAAAATATTGATCATTAGAAAATATAATGGAAAAAAGATTTCATTCACAATAGCAGTACTACTATTACTAATTTAAAAAGCAGTGAAATATATGTGACAAAATTTACAGGAAACAGGACCTTTAAAAAGAGAACTTTAGGCCTTGCAGATGCTGCCACTGCCCCTATCTTCCCACACCCAGCCACGGTCAACCCCACCGTGTTTTTTGACATCCCCGCCTATGGCGAGCCTTTGGGCCGCATCTCCTTCAAGCTGTTTGCAGACAAAGTTCCAAAGACAGCAGAAAACTTTCATGCTCTGAGCACTGGAGAGAAAGGATGTGGTTATAAAGGTTCCTGCTTTCACAGAATTACTCTGGGACTTATGTGCCAGGGTGGTGACTTCACACGCCACAGTGGTAGAGATGGCAAGTGCATCTCCATCTGTGGGGAGAAATTTGATGATGAAAATTTCACCTTGAAGCACACAGGTCCTGGCATCTTGTCCATGGCAGATGCTGGACCCAACACAAATGGTCCTCAGTTTTTTATCTGCACTGCAAAGACTGAGTGGCTGGATGGCAAGTGTGTGGTCAATGGCATGGATGTTGTGACAGCCATGGAGCACTACAGGTCCAGGAATGGCAACACCAGCCAGAAGATCACCATTGCTGACTGTGGGCAACTCTAATAACTTTGACTTGTGTTCTGTCTTAACCACCAGACCATTACTTCTGTAGCTCAGGAGAGCACGCCTTCACCCCCACCTGCTTGGAATGTTTTATAATCTTCGTGCTCTCGATGCAGTTCATTGGGTTCCATGTTTTCCTTACCCCCTCCAAGCCTAGCTGGATTGCAGAGTTAAGTTTATGATCATGAAATAAAAACTAAACAGCAACAAATAAAAATTTAAAAAAAAAAGAAAACTTTATCCTGGAAGCCTCAGGCAGCACCCTGATGCCCTTGCACCTACGGGGCCTGCCTGAACCCAAAGACACACAGGCTGGGCCCCCCACCCTGATGCACCCTTGGCCTCCAGTCCATCATGGTTGCATGAGGAATCTGGTGGTGAACTGGTCCTTTGTCACCTTGCCTTGCTCTGTGGGGTCTCCAAAAGGCAGTGGGTGCCAGCAGCTGCACAGCCACATAGCATAGCTGGCCCTCTGGGACCCTAGCTATGAAGGCGGGCCTCCACGGTGCCCACACCAAGCCCACAGGTAGGCCACCCCAGGCAGGTGGTGTCCTACCTCTCAGAGTGCTCCACCCCAAACAGCTTGCTGACAGTGCCACCCCTCGGCCAGTTTCATAGAAAAAGCTTGTACACATTTATCTACACTCTAGATTCTATGGGTGTCTTATTTCTGGAAGTGGTGTAAATTATGTCTGACTTTTTAAATGAAGGGGTAATGCACAATAAAATTGAGTTTTTATACCTTTAAAAAGGAAAAAAAGGAAAAAAAACTTTAAAACTTTCCTGGGAGACATAAAAGAATACTCAAAGAATTCTTGGTCACATCATGTAAAGATTTTCCTTCTCATACTCTAGAAATTCAAAGTAATTCACACCAAGATTTCCTTAGGAGATTTCAGAAATCTGAAAAAAAAAGTTTCTGAAGCTCTTTTTGGGGGGGGGGGGGGTAGTTGCAAATAGACAGAAAATTTCAGGGAAAAAATTGAGTTGGAACAAGTCCCGGCAGCTAGAAAATTTACCACCTTAGAGTTACTAAAGTAGGGAGTTATTAGCCTACGAGTAGCTAGATCATTGGAACAAAATAGAGTCTAGAAATGCTTCTCACTATTGTGAGTAATAAAATTGGCTTTTTGGGGGTGGGGGGGGAAATTATTGAGTAAGAGAACAACCTGCCTATTTGAGAGGTGAAAAGGCTCTTAGAATGTTACTCAAAAGCCAAAAATATAAAAGAGCAACGTAAGGAAAGTATAAAAAGACCCCAATACCAGATAAAAGTTAATAATCTTGAAAAAGAATTCTTCAAATTAATTAGTAAATAATGAACGCCCACCAGAGGGATGGACCTGAGTAGATAATTCATGCAAGCACAGGTACATGTAGCCAGCACTTATGGAAAGAGTTGCTAACCTCATTAGTAATACAAGAAATGCCCACTCATGGACTGTCAATGGGAGTATAAAGTTTCTGTTGTGGAGAGCAGATGACTTTAAGTTTAAAATATGAATCCTCTTTGACCCATTAATTTCACCACAGGAATTTATCCTAAAGTGGTAGACATGTCTGTAGAGACATGCTTCAAAATTGTTTTTATTGCACCATTGCTTATCATAGTAAAATATTGAAAACAACCTAAATTTCATCAATTGAGTGATTAAAAAGCTACAATATTCATACAGTGTAGCTTTTATTTTTTTAAGTATTTATTTTTAACATGTTTTATTGTTGTTCAAGTACAGTTTTCTTCCTTTTCCCCACACCCCTCCCCGCCATCCCAGCCCTCCCCACCTCCCTCCCCTGTTTCTACCCTGCTTGTTATTGTCCATGTGTCCTTTGTAATTGTTCCTGCAAAACCTTCACCCTTTTCCCCTAAGTCCCCTCCCCTCTCCCCTCTGGTCACTGTCAGCCTGTTCTCAATTCCAGTGTCTTTGGCTATATTTTGCTTGCTCGTTTGTTTTGTTGATTAGGTTCCTGTTAAAGGTGATATCATATGGTATTTGTCTTTCACTGCCTGGCTTTTTTCACTTAGCATAATGCTCTCCAGTTTCATCCATGCTGTCACAAAGGGTAGGAGCACCTTTCTTTCTGATGTGTAGAATTCCATTGTGTAAATGTACCACAGTTTTTTGATCCATTCATTTACTGATGAGCACTTAGGTTGCTTCCAGCACTTGGCTGTTGTAAATTGTGCTGCTATGAACAAGGGAGTGCATACATTCTTTTGGATTGGTGTTTCAGGGTTCTTAGGATATAATCCTAGAAGTGGAATGCCTGGGTCAAAAGGCAGCTCCATTTTTAGTTTTTTTGAGGAAATTCCATACTGTTTTCCACAGTGGTTGCACCAGTCTGCAATCCCACCAACAGTGCACTAGGGTTCCCTTTTCTCCACAACCTCTCCAACACTTGTTTGTTGCTGTGTTAATGATGGCCATTCTCAACAGTGTGAGGTGGTATCTCATTGTGGTTTTAATTTGCACCTTTCTGATAGTTAGCAATACTGAGCATCTTTTCATGTGTCTCTGGACCCTCTGTATGTCCTCCTTGGAGAAGTGTCTGTTGGAGTCCTTTGCCCATTTTTTAATTGGGTTGCTTGTCTTCTTAGAGTGGAGTCGTGAGTTTATATATTTTGGAGATCAAACCCTTGTCTGAGGTAACATTGGCAAATATGTTTTCCTATACGGTTGGTTCTCTTTTCATTTTAATGCTGTTTTCTTTATCTGTGCAGAAGCTTTTTATTTTGATGAGATCCCATTTGTTTATTCTTTCCTTTATGTCCCTTGCTCTAGGGGACATATCAGTGAAAATATTGCTGCATGAACTGTCTGAGATTTTCCTGCCTACTTTCTCCTCTTGAACTTTAATGGTGTCATGACTTATATTTAAATCTTTTATCCACCTTGAATTTATTTTTGTGTGTGGTGTAAGTTGGTGCTTGAGTTCCACTTTTTTGCATGTAGCTCCCCAACACCATTTGTTGAAGAGGCTGTTTTTACTCCACTTTATGTTGCTGCCCCCTTTGTCAAATATTAATTGACCATACAGACTTGGGTTTATATCTGGGCTCTCTGTTCTGTTCCATTGGTCTATGTGTCTGTTCCTATGCCAGTAGCAGGCTGTTTTGATTACGGTGGCATGTAATACAGTTTGATATCAGGTATTGTGATCCCTCCTACTTTGCTCTTCTTTCTCAAAATTGCTGCAGCTATTCGGAGTCATTTATGGTTCCATATAAATTTTTGAAGTGTTTGTTCTATATCTGTGAAATATGCCATTGGTACTTTAATAGGTATTGCATTGGATCCATAGATTGCTTTGGGTAGTATGGACATTTTGATGACGTTAATCCTTCGGATCCATGAACACTGTATATGTTTCCATTTGTTTGTGTCTTCCTTGATTTCTTTCTTCAGTGTTATGTAGTTTTCTGAATACAGGCCCTTTACCTCCTTGATTAGATTTATTCCTAGGTATTTTATTTTTATTGTTGCTATATCAAATGGGATTTTTTCCCCCTGATTTCTGCTTCTGATGTTTCATTGCTGGTATACAAAAATGCCTTTGATTTTGAATATTTACTTTGTATCCAGCTGTTCTGCCAAATTCATTTATTAGGTCGAGCAGTTTTTTGATAGAGTCTATAGGATTTTCTATGCACACTATCATGTCATCTGCAAACAATGACAGTTTTGTTTCCTCTTTTTCAATTTGGATGCTTTTTATTTCCTTTCCTTGTCTGCTATAGCTAGAACTTCCAATACTATGTTGAATAGGAGTTGTGAAAGTGGACAACCTTGTCTTGTTCCCGATCTTAGTGGGAAAAGTTGTAGTTTTTGCCCATTGAGTATGCTGTTGGCTGTAGGTCTCTCATATATGGCCTTTATTATGTTGAGAAATGCTCCCTCTATTCCCACTTTGCTGAGTGGTTTTATCATAAATGAATGCTGTACCTTATCAAATGCTTTTTCTGCATCTATTGATATAACCATGTGATTTTTGTCTTTCCTTTTGTTTGTGTGATGTATTACATTTATTGATTTGCAAATATTATACCATCCTTGCATCTCTGGGATGAATCCCACTAGGTCATGGTGTTATACAGTGTAGCTTTTATAATGATCATGTAGATCTATAGTTACTAATATGGGAAGATGTTCAAGGCACAGTATTAAGAACATTATGTTTAAAAGGCAGATACAGAATATGGGGTCAACTTTAGCTTAAGTTGTTCCTTCATCATGGCAGACACTAAAAAGCAGATACAGAATATATACAATATAATTTCACATGTATACAATTGTCTGCATTTACTTATACATTTCAAGAGATACCTGATAGATGTTTGTCAAACTATTTTGTCTTAATGGAGTTATAAATATTTCTTCCAATTCTATTTTCCAACATTTTCAAATATTTTTAACAAAAACTTATTTCTGACAAATTAGTAGCTAAATTCTATTTAAGAGAAATGCTTTCTTAAATAATAAATATTAGGCTCTAAGGAGTTTAATATCAAAAATAAAAATAAATAACTGACATTAAATTTCAGAATCTCTATGTCTGTATCTTTATATAATTGTATAACATTCAGAATTAGTTCTGACCTGTGCTGGTAATTTTTGATTTATTCTTTTGAATGCTCTATAAAAACTGTAGTATATTAGTAATAATTGGATCATAACAATTTAGTTTATTCTTGTTTTAATTTTTTTTACTTTTAAAGTATATTTTATTGATTATGCTATTACAGTTGTCCCATTTTTTTCTGCTTTATTGCCCTCCACCATGCACCCCCCCCCCAACAGCACCCACCCCCTCTTAGTTCATGTCCATGTGTCATACATATAAGGTCTTTGGCTTTTCCATTTCCTATACTATTCTCAACCTCCCCATGTCTATTGTGTATCTACTATTTATGCTTCTTATGCTCCCCTTCCACCTTCCCACTGACAACTCTCCATGTGATCTCCATTTCTGTGATTGTTCCTGTTCCAGTTGTTTGCTTA